GTTACATATAACATATACAGGCAATCGAGAGAAGAGAACGAAAAGGTTAACGTGCGAACAAGACCCAGCAACTTAATACAATGTGAAAATATGTGGTCAACATGGTTGTGAAATCGGAGCTTAGAGTCGATAAATATTCCCAGCAAACATATCGGAAAGAAAGTTAATTTTTCAGTTCAAACTTAGTTCCAGTAATTTTCAAGTTCAGGAATTTTTAATGCATTTCTAGTGGAAGAAACCTTGTTTGGATTTGCAATTGGCATAATAATGTCCGCCTGACTGTAGAATATACAGTCCTCCTGTGGTGGCCAAACCCAGTAACGTCCACTCTTCTCCATGCACTTCACCATGGCACCCGAGTTTGTTACACTAGTTACCTGCCCTGGCCAGTACTCCTCCTCAAAACAGACAATGACAAAAATCCCCAACTTTTGGTTTGTATTTGCTGTTATGGTGAGGCATTTCTACCGATTCATTCTCCTGATAGGTTTCCATAGATGTATCTGAATCTAATGTTGGACAATCTGGTTCATCTTCTGACTCACTGCAGCTTCTTTTTTTCCGCAGATGATGTTTCTTTGACTGAGTGGCAACAGAAGTTCCTGATGTTCCAGCTTTGTTAACAGTGGTGGTATCTTCTTCTGTAATACTTTTCCCAGTCTCGACATTGATCATTCTCTTTCTTCTGCGGCTTGATCCTGTGTCTTCTCTCCTTGTATTCTGTAGGTGCTGAATAAAGGATTCTCCCACTGAGCTTTTCACATCTAGTGAGTCTGCACTAGGTGGCAATCTTAATAACAGGGGCTTGCATCTATTGGAAATATTCCTGCTTTTTGGAAGCCAGATTTAAGATTATTAGGTCCATTTTCTTCCAGCTTTGTCATGGACACTGTAGGTAATCTGCGTCCAGTGGGAGTGGACTTCCACTCATCCAAAATCTTCCTCTATGCTATTTTCATGGGTCTGAAGTAGGCTATATACAGAGGCTGTGTTAGGTGGGTTGAATTGGGTGGTAACGCTACAAAAGCCACATTATTTTCTCTACATGCCTTTAAAACTGGAATGCTCATGTCTGAGCTGAGGTTATCACCAGTCAGTACATGCTTCCCTCCTGCTCTCTTGACATGTGGAAGAAATAAGGTGAAAAACCAGTCTTCATAACTTTGTGTGTTGAACCAGCCACTTTTTGTTCGATTTTATCTAGCCCCAGAAGGGCCACCCTGAGTCCATGTGTCCCACAAATTCTCTGCTTTGTAATTCACATATGGAGGACAGATTTAGCCTGCTGCATTGCCACATATCATTAACGAAATTGCTGCTTTAGTACTGTTCTTTATTGGCTCAGGGTACTTGCATCCCCTCTTCGTTATGACGTGTTTTTTCCTAGAGCCGTCGACGAGATTGGTCTCATCATAGTTCCAGAGATTTTCAGGGCGTACATCTTTTGCAACCTGTGATAAGTTTTGAATATAACTATTAATAACAGATGCGTCAAGTGCTGCTCGACATCGTTGGATATTGCTGCAGAAAGAACACGATCGTGTCGTTTGAGGAACTTCTCAGCCCATTTTTTACCAGAAAAATTGTTGCAAAATGTTTTCACTTTCCTGCCTGATCCATCCAGGTAGCTCTTGACTATGCATCTCAAATCTAAAGTAGTGATTGGAGACCCGAAATCACACATAGCAATGGTGTGTTGTACAAAGGATTCTTCTTCTTCCTGTGTAAAAACAGTTCTAGGGCCTGGAGCTCCAATATTGTTTTACTTTAAAGCTTTCATTTTAAGAACAATAGAGCTCCGAGGAATCCCATAGTGTTTTGATGCTTGTCACTGGCTCATCTTTTTTCTTGCAATATCATCCAGGCATTGTTACAGGGTATGTGGAGAGTATGGCAAATAAGGTCGGCCGCCAACCTTGCGGCGAGTTTCTTTGCTAGCCATCACCACAGCACCTGTAAAGGAGATGTGGTTCTTAAGAAACTTGTAAGTACGATACTACGGTAACTGAAATGTTATTGTTATTATTATTTTCTCCCATAATTGCTCAGAGAGCAGTGTAAAATTACCGGTACTGATATTTATATGAAGGCAAACAATTGGAGATTATTCATATTAAGAAAAAAAATAAGTTCTACACAACTCGACTCGAATGGCTAAATATGCATGGAATAAGTAATGTACAATAAGGATATCATCACCAAACATCTGAAAACTGGAAAAACAATACAAAAAGAAAAGAAATGCTCAAGAAAATACAGTTTATAACTTGGAACACAACTATGTTCCACCTGGAAATGTGGACCATTGTTAGGCATCAAGTTACAGTTTTTGTTACGGCTACACCGATTTTTTTTTCAAAGAGTTAATGACACCTAACTTTACCACATACATACCGTAATTAAATGTATGAGCTGCAATTTAGTATGGCACTCACCTGTTAGGCTCGGTATGAGAAAGTTTGCACAGGTATTCTTCAAAACACTTTTCACGTGATTTCCCTCGCTTTCCAGTGCACACAAACGCGTTGAGGTGGAAAGTCGAAAACTTCTCGGTAGATGGCTTAAGATGTCTCACCCATCCCTGCATGGTCGCGACACACGTGGAGTTCATTGTAACTACGTAGTAGAAGAAAAAGTAATGCAAAACGCATTGGACCATTAGTTGTGGCGGTGGCCTATAGTTAGGGGGTTTTACGGTATATAAGATTTTGCCTGTTATTTTGTATGGGTGCGAAAAATTGTCTCTCACTCTGATGGAGGAACATAGATTGCAGGTTTTTTATAAAAAGGTGTTGATGAGAATATTTGGACCTATGAGAGAAGATGATGGGGAATGGAGAAAACTGCATAATAATGAGCTTAAAAATTTGTAATCCTTCCCCAACACTGTCAGGGTCATTAAGTCAAGTAGAATGAGATGGGCAGGGCATGTGGCGCGCATGGATGGGGCACAAGGTGTGCATCGGGTATTGGTAAGGAAGCCTGAGGGGAAGAGACCGCTGGGAGACCTAGACATAGATGAGAGGATAATCTCAGGCGGGATCTATGGGAGATAGGAGTTGAAGGCGACTGGATTTTGCTGGCCCAGGACAGGGACCAGTGGGGGGCTTTGATTTGTTCAGTGATGAACGTTCATGTTCCCTAAGCCATGTAGTTAGTTAGTTATGTATATAAGAGGAATGACTCTTCTAAATGGTGTTTGGAAGATATATTTTGATAGACTGATATGAATTATTTATATGGTCACAAACAAGATATAGGCAGTGTTGGCACATTTTTGTTTGTTTATTTAAAAGATTGATGTCCATAAAAGAATCAGAAATATGTAGGTGTTTTTTCTTCTTCTTTAGATTACGTTCATATTGTAGTTTCTATTGGTGATTGTTGTTGCAGTATGAGATTGTTTTATATATTAAAGTTACTGTGGCATGATGCTTGATATAGATATGTAATTTACAGAACAGTAAATGGACATTAAGTTAAGCTTTAAAATTTACAACATATATTTAATTCTCCCTTCTTAAATATAAGGTCATTATGACATTAAATTTAATAACAGTTCTGGGTTTAATAAATGTAAATTGACCATCTTTGTTGCATCATTATCATAAATTTAGTAACATCAGTCTTCAGTATTAACATCACAGCTTCAATGTTGCACAAGATCACCCATTACTGCTCCATATGCAGCATGTTCAAAACAAATAATACAATTACACGTGACTATATTTAATGCATAAGTGCAGCTGTAATAACAGAGAAACAGTTAAATGTTCACAGCCACATGAAGTAGTTCACTTGTGGGCTGCTGCAGTGCTGCGACCATCCTCAATCTAAAACGGCATCACCCCTGATACCAATGTTATGTACCTAGATGTGCTTGAACAGTTGTTGTGGCTCCAGCTAAGGGAGAGCTTTCCTACTAGTTTTACTCTTCCAACAGGATGGGACCCACCACATTTTTACTTGAGTGTGAGAGCATTTCTTAAAAACCAGCTGCCTGGAAGTTAGATAGGGCACTGAGGACTGACACGTTTACCACCACGATCCCCAGGCCTGTCACCTCTTGACTTTTTTCTGGGGTTTTGTCACTAACTGCAACTACAGACCACCAATTCCTGTCTTTGCCATAGCTATGAGGATGCATCTCAAATGCAGCTATACAAGTCAATGCAGCAATGCTGCAGTACACATGGATGGAGTTTTAATATTGCCTAGACATTTGCTGTGCAACACATGGTGCATATATTGAACACATGTAAACAAAACTTTAAATGTTTCTCTACATGTACCAATTTCTTTGATTGTTGTGACTGCTCTGGTTCATTCCTTATAGCCAATCATCTTTATCATTTTAAAACACTCTGTATAATGGAATAGGCATATATGCACACAAAGAGAAAAAGGAGAAATGGAATCAGACTTAAATTCACATATCAACTCATGCAAGAGATAATTAAAACTTTAAAGGTCAATTTAGGTATTATACCTACTGTATTATCCAGTGTAGACCTAATTGTAGAATGACCCTTCCGTATAGACGTATTTACATCAAAAAGGATGAAACGGCCAGTGCGGTTACTATGACATTTGACTGATATGTGCCTATGGTAGATGAAGCCGCTGTGATATTGACCTTACTATTTAGTCCCAACGAGATGGAGTGACAAAAAAATAATGCTCAACAGTTTATAAACACTAAGGACTGAGTTTGAACATCGAATAATTTCCCGCTTTAGTGGCGTTAGTGACATTTCTTGGCTAGACCGATCTGCCGGCTACTTGAATAGCAAAGTATTCCATACATAGCCTGCAGACTTAAACAATCTCAAACAAAGAATGTCTGAAGAAATTGCCATATCACTGGTCATGTTATTGTGCTTAATGGGAAGTGTTTTGAATCGGGCATAATGTTACATAAATCTTGATTGACAACATCTGACGGATGTTATCTTTAAGAAATAACTTTTGTTATAATGTTCCTCAGTTATGGCAAACACTTATGTTTCAATTCACATTACTTTTAATAAAGTGTAGTCGACTAGTTTACCTTTAAAATGATGGATCATGTATTCATGTATGTATGAATCATGCCCCATCATGTATAAACTAACCATCTCTATGGTATTTCGATGTGCAGGATTTTCTATGTGATCTGGAAGAAACCAAAGAGGGCACATCTAAAATGCTTATTTGTTTCTTTTCTTTTCTTTCGTCCCTCCAGGAAAATACCAAGACAAGTAACTTAAATTAGTCTGCGACCGCTTCTTTCATATCCGTTCTAATTCATTAGTCATTAATCATACTAACATTCGCCGCTATACGTTCTGAGTTACCGACAGGGTGGTTAAATAAATCACAAAAAGAATAAATAAGTTTTTTTTCAAGATAACCGATATCAAGTAATTAAATAGCAGGGCAACAGTCGATCTTCTGAATTACTTCATTTCCCGCTTTGTGCTCTGCAATCACCGATAAACGGGAACGCAACTGTCCCATTCCCGCTCCCAGCAGGAACTGCATGGACTCATGACTAAGTACTGGCAGTAAAATACTAGCTAAAATTCCTACAACAGAGCTCCATCTAACAGTGTTTATTTCAGGTTATTGTGTGTGAAGGGGGTTATATATATATATATGCTGTGCTGTTGAACAGAGTGTTTTTCTGTACGGGTGAAATGTGGTTCCACTAGAAAGTGAGTGTCGGAGAAAAATTTGTCGTTTACTTACCGGGGTCACAGTTTCAAGCACAACAGGCATCCATGAACTTTCTACTATTGCCATCCACTGGGTCACTTCTGGATTAGATGACTACGAAAACGAAGGAGGTAAACTTAAATCCTCTTGATACTAAGCAATTTTCAGATAACTTATTATGACAGTCCATACATTCTAAATCCCGACATTTCATTGGGGACACTTCCTTATCTGCAAAGATAAACTATTTGTAACAATTTCAAAAATATTCTTCACATTTGTTTACATTCCTCGCCGCTTTGTTACGGTCGCTGTGCAGTGATGTAAAGACTTCTGAACTACATGGAGTCGCTTCATCGTTGCTAATAAAATACTGGAACAATCTTGCGAAAAATCTGTCAGGCGCAAACACTCGTCACATTGTATTCAGTGTTATCTACTAAAATTCAGAGCGCCATATGAAAGTAATGAACCTAAGTGACCAAGATTTCAAATACAATTTCTATTATTCTTGTATATTTCTACGGCACTAGCGTAAAAGCGAGACCGATTAAATTCACGCCGTCGTGACACTGTGACATCAATTGAACAATTAAAGACTATGATTTCTACAAGCCTGGTCGTCTATGGCTCTCAGAAGGCTTTCTTACCGGTCTTAATCTAATCCAGAAATCCGATGATGAGTCGTAGCGCGTATGGTCACCCTAACGTCTGTTTCAGAACTGAGCACAAATAATCCGACATGCATATTTTATTTACGTTAAGCATTGGATGTATATTGTTATTGAAACTTCTTTAGAAAATATTAATCAAAACAGTAAATGAAACACGCCTGACTTACGCTGCACAGTCTTATTTTTTGCATGATGACATATCGCAGAAATGTGGAAGGATTCGTCACCAAAATTACGAAAATGGAAACCCCGCTGCCACCACAGAAATTAGGTAAGTTGGAGTAAGAACAGTACTTCTGGCATTGCTTTGTCATACATTTTTTTACTGGCGATACATAGGACACGTCTTTTATTCGGTTGTGCCTTATTGCCCATGCCTAAAGCCGAACAGCTGAAGGTCAGAACGCGCTACTTGCTGGCGATCACGAATACGGAAATGACCGAGGAATACCGAACAAGTTGCAGTCGCCATTTTATTTGGGAGTGAATAGTGTTTCGTATGTGACTCTCTGTTGTTTATATTTAAATCTCCCAAGAATTCGGTGTTGTATATGCGGACGGTTCACAGATGGCTTGTCTGATAACATTGAAACAAGAAATTAAGACTTTAGAATCAGTATTTCCAAAAAACCACGAAAGATTCCAGATAGTGTCAGCTAGTGTGGATGAACTGAACTGTAGATTCGTAGGCAAAAATGGGAAGAAATATGAAATTCATGCGAATATTACTGTAAGTGGAATGCAGAAATACAATTGGGCATAGATATTAAAATGCACAACGTATTAGGTGCCTACTTATTCTTATTGTGTAGGATGTAGCTGGCAAGATTTTGAAAACAAAGGAAACATTTGTCCATGTTTACCACATTTTTTGATCCAGTGCTTTAAAAAACAATAGTTAGGTAGGCTGCAGGTATTAACACAGCTCCATTTCAGGAGATTGTCGGGTAGACTTTGTTTGGTAAATTGTGCTATATTATGTAATATTTTTATTGTATTTTAACTCTGCTAGCATATTCATTTTTAAGTCTTGAAGGTTAGAAGACACTTCTCAAAACTTGTTGTAACATATCACTTTTGAATATTTGAAGATTTTTTTGTTTGTATGTCTCTCAAGTCAATTCAGTGATTGAGATGTCCCAGAACATACTTCTAGATAGGCTCTTGCCCCATTCATTGGATTTTGATTCAAGTATATTTTCAGTTATTATTAACTAATATTGACCTTTATAACACTCATATGATGTAAGTTAATTTTGCATATCTCATTATGCTTAGTTTTTTAAACTTATGTGCCTTGTCAAATCTAATTTTGTTTATGTTATGTTGTTGGAACATACCACAGCAGACCTGTATACCACATGTGTATATAATAAATACCTTTATATGTGGAATATACGTTTGTGTTCTTAAAGGGATGGCTGGAATTTGTGCCACTCTTGAATGAATGTGCAACAATGGGATCCTGCTGCACAAGCATAAGCACCTACATTAAATGGTATCATGCACTTCCCCTATGTAACTTGTTTCATTTGCACCTGTCACATGATAAGTTGGAGCTGAGTGATGCCAGTATGGGATGAATTACAGTTTGCAGTAGGGCCATTCCACGTCAGTCCAACACAGAAAAGAGACATTTCCAACATAACCCTTTTAGAATTTAATGATTTTCTTTTTTGTGAGATAAGCATTTCTGCCAAATGTTGCTGCTTTGTGGCCACTAGATTTTTGAGAGCAGACATCCAGAGTTGACTGAATACCAATGTTTGGGACAGAAGTTGTTTTAGAAAAAGCTGCATAACTTCTGCCCTTATTGAGATGCAGAGTTCATTTTATGTTCATTTCCAAGATAATAAAACAACCTTTCCAATGACCCTTTACATCAATATATTAAGCACAATTATGTTTTCCCAGTGGAGGGCATTGGTGAATTCAGTGATGAACCTTTGGATTCTGTAAGCCATCTAGTTAGTTAGTTAGTTTTACAGTTATGTTTTCATGATTTTAATGTTTGACTTTGTATTTCTCAAAATGTGATATTTCATGGAGGAAAAATATATCATGTGCATTCAGTGGTTATTTAAAACAACTGCATAATCAAGATGGTACTGCAGTGGGATTGGGTTTTGTGAAACATTTTACTGTGGAGAGTCACTTTACTTTTACTGATGAGAGAACTTCAAGGATCATGCTTCCTTTAAATTCTTTACATTTATTAATTTACATTAACATTTGTTGAGTGTGAAAAAAATTAGGAATACTGCAGTTTATATAGAAAGATACCTTTTAGTAAGAAAGCCAATTACATAAAAGCTAATAACAACTTTAAACCCTCAAAGGTAATGTGACATTAAGGCAAAGCTCATTTTCTCTAAGTAACTTGCATGAGAATTGTATGGTTCTTTCATCCTGGTTAGTGGAAGTTGCTGTTGTTAATTTGGTCTCTTTACTGATTACTGACTGTGTGTATACATCCTGTTATGGTGTTAAGAGTAACATTTGGTAATGTAGGGTCATAGTGAACTGATTTAATAAAATTCTCTGAGCCTGTTAGTTGTGTCAAGTGGTTAACTTTTGCTAGAATTACTGTTAGAGGAAGCTACAGAATATGTGGTGTAGCTGTGTAAATATATATATTGTGACGTGTTGCGGCGACCCACGTTACAATATATATATATATATATATATATATGATGCAAAGGGTCTCTGAGGAAGGACAAGAATGGGGAGCAGCTTGCAGAATCACATGGCATCATAGACAGATGGAAGGATTACTTTAGTAAGTTACTAAACGTTCATATAGCTGATCAATTTAAAGAGCCTGAAGAACATACAGCAGAGCCCTTCATCCTGGAATCGAGCCTTACTGAAGTTGAAATTGCCATTGGAAAATTAAAATGTTATAAATCTCCAGGTTCTGACTCGGTTCCAGTAGAACTAATCCATGCAGGTGGTAGTACACTGCACTCAGAGACACACAAGCTAATAGCCTCTATTTGGAACCAGGAAGTACTTCCACAACAATGGAAAGAATCAATTGTCCCTATCCACAAAACTGAGTGCAGTAACTCCCAAGGTATCTCTCTTTTGTCAACATCATACAAAATTTTATCGAATATTCTTCTGGCACAGTTAACATCATTTATGAATGAAACTATTGGGGATGATGATGACCCCTGAGGATCTCATATTTTCTAGTTCCCTAGTTTGAGAAAACAAATTTAAGTTTTGTTTCATGGTTTTATTTCAGTTTTTTGTTTTCAGTATTTAAGATCTTGGGTATCCCACATCTGAAGCCAAATTATTCTGGAGCTAATGTGTTATTAGAATGCATATAGTGGCTTAAAGTATTGTACCTAACCTTCTCAAATACTTAGAAGAGCACTTAGTAGTGAAATGGGTTTTTTTTATTTGTCATACCAATTTCATCTCCTTATACTCTGTTTTACTATTGAGACAGTCAAGGAAAATACCTGTATATAGTGAGCGATTAGAGATAGAGCTTAATGGGTTATTGATTATGGAAGAACAGGCTTTCAGAATATTCCTTGTTATTTTATCATAATCTAATGAGATTTTTATTTGAGGGAAGGTGTTACACTTTTATCTCAGTTTCAGTAGTTGGAATAATTTTAATACCAGGAAATTCCACTTTTATTAATGAAATTGCATCTTCTTTCCTCACTTGATATAAATGAAAAATGTCAGCAATTGTTAGAAAGAAACCATTTAAAGAATCGGCAGATTTTTCTGAGCCCTTTTTATTGTTTATAAGAAGCGAGGGCATCTATTCAGGCTAAAATTTTCTAGTTTTCTTTTTTGCCATACTCCATGATGTTTTTATTTTATTAATAAATTCTGCTTGGGTATTATTATTTATGGTGGCTGTAAGTATTGATCTGTTGAGTGTCATATGTTGTACTAAGTACCCTAATCCAGTGTAGCAAATCCACTATCTTTTTAATTTTTGCAAGGTAAGAACTAAAAATGATAATACCATAAAAGTGTTTTAAAAAACAAATGGTTAAAGAAACAGTAACCCTTGAACCGAGGGTCACCACACAGTTGTTGTCACTAGGTAATATTGCTCTAAAGGTGCTGAAAATGCATAAAACATAATGAACACAAAAATGTTGTGATTTTATTTTATTTATTCTTGATGCTTATAAACCTTTACATATTTTATCTTATTTTTATCATAGAAAAGCAATGCAATATTACAAAAATAATAATTACTGATTAAACCAAAACTTTCAACATTTTAAGTACAAACTGCAGAACATATTCAGAAGAGTTAAAAAAATGTCATATCTCAGCCTAAAGTAAAGAATGACACATTAAAATCCTAAGTGAACTGTTTTATCTGCTACAGAGAACACAAACTGAGTGACTGCAAATAGAACATAAATTTTAACACATTTTTATTACTGAAAAAGAAAGAGGAAATATGACATCTATTCTACCATCCATAGGCTCTCAAAGGAATGCTGAAACATCATCTAACTGTGTCTCAGAAATGTTATCTGTGGCCAAATGAACTTTGACATTAGGATTTAAACTTGCAAATATGAGCTTTGCATCAATGACAGTCGCCTACCAGGCTGACTGGTGTACGAGGGAACATGGGCAATGAACCAAAGTATAGCTTTCACCTGTTTTGCTTTCAGAGGACTCCGAGAAGTTATTAACATTCATATTTTTCTTCAAATTGGGCAGACATTATTTGTGTCCTTGCTTAATAGACATAAGTAATTGTAATTATTGGAAGGAGGAGAAAAGCAGCATATGGGCAAATGCAAGGCAATTATGAATGTCTAGAATTATTGTGTCTGCTGTACACTTACATCATTTCCAGTTTGAGAGTTAATTGATTTTTGTTGTGCAGAGTTTACAAGAGTTTTCCCTATATTTTCTACAGGAGTACTATAATTTTCATTACTTAAGTCATTTTGAGTTCTTATTGAAAATTATGCAGTATGATACAAATCATATATTCTAAATAATTGTTTTTTTTTTCTGTTTTCTTTGAAATAGTTTATATTTATGTCACTGCAATTTATAAAATCTTTGAACAGTCATTCCTTGAAAAAGCAACATACCTATTGAATATTGAAGTCTAGGATTGTGATTAAATTTGGAATATCTTTGTCAAGTGATTTCTGAAATACTTTGTGTTAAAAATGCCACCACTGGGGTAAAAAGGCATATGCATGGGTTTTTTTTAATAACTCCTTTGATAATGCACTTAGAGAAACATTCTATATCTCACTTTATGAAATTTTCTTTAAAACTGTATAAAAATATACTTCACTGTTTATAAAGCCTCTGAGTTATAAGTCGTTTAACTCCTGAAATTAAATCTTCTTAGTATGTTTTATTTGGTCATTACACACGTCTTGAAATCTTGATTCTGATATTGTACAATCTATGCAGCTGATAAAACTTTATTTAATAAAACAGTAAGGAATCAAGTGTGGCAGAAAACATAAGGGCTTATGTCATTGTTTGTTATTAGTTTCAGTGTTTTAGAATGTTAGGAAATATGCTACTGTTTTCAATATTTACTTCTTCTGTTTAGTTATGAATATATTTGACTGTGTTACAGGAAACCTATCCTTCAACTCCACCAGTTTGGTTTGCAGAATCAGAAGAAACGAGTGTAACTAATGCTGTCCAAATTCTTAGTAACACTTCTGGCAGAGACAACCATGTAAGTAAAACAGTTTTGGATTTTAAATTTCCTTTTTCTTACCTGATAATTAGTATCTTTCATTCATTACTCATAGTTTTTTTCTTCTTGTTGTTATAAGGTCTTTTTATTGTTTGTGAATTTTGTGTTAGTAGTCCTAATGTATCAGGAAGTTGTTTTTGTTACTTCCTTACATGCTAATGTTCCAGTATCGTCAGTGAGATTAAGTTGAGAAGAATGCGATTGGCAGGGCATGTAGCACGCATGGATGGGACAAGAGGTGTACACCGGGTATTGGTTGGGAAGCCAGAGGGGAAGAGACCGCTGGGGAGACCTAGATGTAGATGGGAGGATAATGTCAGGCAGGATCTATGGGAGATAAAAGTTGAAGGAGACTGGATTTTGTTGGCCCAGGATAGGGTCTGGTGGAGGGCTTTGGTTAATTCGGTGAACCCTCGGGTTCGGTAAGCCATCTAGTTAGTTATTTCCATTTCAGTGATTCATAGAGCACATTTTTACATTCTGTTGTGCCTGTTTTAACACAAATAATAAAATGTAATCGAAGATCCTACCTTGCATATTGCCTATTCTTAACTAATTATCTTTATGTTTTAAGAAGTTGTTATAATTTTTGTGTTTGTTAACAGGTGCTGAACCAAGTTGGTATTCTACTTCGAGAACTATGTCGATTACATTGTATCCCAGAACCCCCCGATATTGCGCTGCTTACAATGCCAGCTGCTGCTGCTGCATATCGACTTCCAGATCGGCTGGAGGAAGATCGAGATATGGAGGACGAAGATGATGATGATGAAGAGGAGGGAGAGGAAGATCTTCATCTTGAAATGGATGAAGGAGAGGGTGTTGCCAAGAGTAAGGTGAGATGTAAGACATTGTATCGTTTGAGAGAAAAATAAAGAAAATGCAAATGAAGAAAGCTCACTAAGGAATTTCCATTTTAGGTCCAGTTGAGTACTAGCACTCATTTGAAACTAAACTAAACCATGCCAAGTGTGAATTCCGTAAGTAGGCCTACTTGTTTTCATTTTGTTTATATTAACCCCTTCACTGCCAGCAACTCTGCTGCTAGCTTACCTCCCACATCATTGTTAGCAGTATACTAGTTGTCTGCAGTTTTTTATTGTAAGAAATTTCAGCCCTGAAGATGGAAACAGTATGTTACTCCGAAATGTTGGCATCTGCCAATGAGTACCTTGAATTAGGCCAAGACTGCTTCTTTTCACATCCTTTCCAGTTCTTTATTTACAGATAACAGAATCAACACATCCACAGAATATTACTCTTCCAATCATTATATTAAAAACTTAAATATTTTAACATATGACTAGTAGATTCTGTTTCATCCATCATTTAAGAAGTTAAAATACCTGATTCACAAAACTGTTATTTGCATTGGAGATGTACTGGGATACTGGGAACGACCAGTTTTTCAAGTGCCTGAGCATTGCGGGTCCCAACTTTTTCGTTGGCTCGATCTGTAGACATTTGGTAGGACAAACATCCATGGCTTGAGTGGAATTCGAATCCATGGTCCCAGCGACCAAGTGGCACAAGGCCCACGCCTCAGACTGCGCGGCCACTGCGGACCCCATTGGAGATGTGCTGTAGCTTAAATACAATGTGAATGAACCTGATGATATCCGTGTTCAGTCAAAACATATAGTTAAGTATTCACAAATACTAGAAACAATAATGTAAATGTGACAGTGAAGAAATAGTCAAGATTATGTGAACACGCTACATTATTGAACTGACATTAGTAATTACAAAATTTGGTTCTTAAGATAGAGCATTGTCATGTTAGTATGTCCTAAGAATATCACTCAAACAACTTGCTACACATATTTCTTCTGCAAACATTTTAAAACATATTTCAGTTTGAGATTGGTTTCAGCATAAAGAAGTGATTTGTAGTGGTTGTGTATTAATTTCCAGGTGGACGAGATGGACACGGAACACTTGGCAACATTGGAACGACTAAGGCAGAATCAACGGCAAGATTATTTAAAGGGCTCTGTTTCTGGCTCCGTTCAAGCAACTGATAGGCTTATGAAAGAACTGAGGGATATTTACAGGTCCGACAGCTTTAAGAAAGGTAACTTTGAGCATTATTATCGTTTTACTGGCGTAGACTCGTGATAGGGATATTGACAGGTCTGACAACATAAAGAAAATTATGACTGAACATTACTTTGCTATGTTCAAACCCTAATTCGTATTATGTAACACCCAGTTTAATGTTTAGTTACGCTCATGAGCCCGACAGCTCTCGACAGTGATACTGTTTGTTCCGTTTTACAATTGCTGCTACTATTAGGCAACTTTCAGTAGTACTTCTAAAGTGTTTCATTTACTGTCTTAAATGTTGTTAATAATGTTGTTAGATGACAAAAGTGTTCTATTTTATGAATGCTGCAGCCATTAGAAAGCTTTTATAAGTACTTCTTAGATGGGTGATTGAAACATTTAAATAATATAGTGCAGAAGCAGCTTGTTTTAATAGAGTTCACAATGTTTAGAAAAAATGTCATCATGAATGTCTTTTATTTGGTTTCTGATATGTTCTTTGCATGAAATGAATGCATGTAGGGGTGACCATTTATGTCTGGCTATCCATCTTCAGGATTCAACTCAAAAACCACTGGACAGATTTTGTTGAAATTTGGTGTGGATGTTATGCTATCAGAGACTACCATGAACTCATATTTTCTAATATCTTACTGTCTGTTTTACTGGCATAGCAGATGAAGAACCTTGTGAGGTTGGAGCGACAGTAGTGACACTTTACGTATGGCCATACAATGATGAACAGTGACAGATCTTTGAAGAAATACACAAATGTAGTTCAGTAATTCCTTGTACAGTGTAGTTAGATATTAAAGTTGTTTAAATAAGGCAACAAAAATTTCCTTCCATGTGTAAAAATATATTTGGATCACACAGCATATTGACAAGCCTTGGGTTGAGAAGACCTGTGTTATTGCATTGTAGAATTTTCCTATATGAAGTGGTGACTACAATATTTGTTATAGGGATGTACAACATAGATCTGGTGAATGACAGCCTGTATGAGTGGAACATCAGACTTATGAGTGTTGATCCCGATTCGCCTTTACATAATGATTTGGTGTTGCTCAAAGAGAAGGAGGGAAAGGATAGCATCTTACTGAATATGACTTTTAAGGTAATTCTCACTTTCCTTCATTACTACCGTAAATGGTATGCATATTATGTTATTTAAGTACTTGTACCAATGTAATATTCCACTCCAAATTATAGCTGGTTGCCTTCAGACTAGTGGTTAGCGTCCTCGCCACTGGACCCAAGGTTCGCTGCTTCAAACCTGGCCGAGGTCGATAGATTTTTAAGGGTGTTAAAATAATTCCATAGCACAACTTCCTTCAGAGGGGAAGTAAAGCTGGCGGCCCCATGTCATAGATTTACGGCATTTAACAGAACATTGCGAGCATGAAACGAGATGTTTCGTAAGCAAAATTCAGTGGCCATTTCTCACCCAAGTCTCTCCTGATTCACTACTAGATGGCTCTAGCAGATAAATCAGGATTGAGTGGAAATTGTGCAGAGGCAGTGGGCTTGTCACTCACTACTCATAAATGCACGCTTTAAAGACAAAGAAACCTCCCAAATGGGAGGAGGCCAAGGCTCGACTTTGGGCTGTTGTGCCACGGTCAGTCAGTCTAATTATAGCTGATGGAAATGTTGAAAACAAGTAGTTCTGGGAAGAATTTGTGACATCTGCTTCCTTTCAAATGCTTAGGCCTTCAATCTATCTTGTATCTGTGTGTGGGATAATTTCTTTGCATTCTTATAAAACATTCATAAAGCTATTAAAATGACTAAACTAGAAGATAAATGAAACTGTAGATGCTCCATTACCAGCAAAAATTTGCGTCATAACATGCGTAAAATCTTTAACATAAATTTCCATATGCAAGAATACATGTTTTACTGCACTCGTAACTAACTCCATGGAAATTTCTTCTTTAGAAGATGATATGCGCTCAGCTGGTCAGGAAATTCCTTTCCTTTTATGGGAGCAGAATATTAATTGCTGTGAGAAGCTACATGGGGCCAATTCTGAGGCACTGTGTGCATTTCATAACTTGCTGGGTTTTTGCAGAGTGTAGTTAACTCCCCGCCCAACCTGCAAATGAGGACCACCCCTTGTTAATTGTTCCTGTCTGCTTATTCCATACATTTGCAACTACTCTTCATATCTGGAGGCCTTCTCCTTTTTCCACAACATGAAGATGTACCGTGCCATGGTGGCAACCCACGTAACATGGTCACTGAAATCATTAATTAACTGAAATTGATTATGCTCTCCCGAAAAATTTACCACTGGTATGTCACTAGTAAATACAATTCCTTTATTTCTCATGCCTCTGAAAACATGTTTTATGATTGTAAATAAAGTTTATAAGTTGTTGTTGTTGTTGTTTTTTGTTTATATATATATATTTCAGTTCAGAACATATAGTCCAACGGTCTTAGAGAGCTAATGTTTTCTGCAGATATTGGCATTAAAGCAGGGATGGCAGTGAATTGAAATTATTTTATTTTTGGTTGAATTTTAATTAATATAGGACCATCTTATACAATATTCACATTTACTATAATCTCGCTCTTTGAATCAAAATACTCATCAATTTTTGTCTACAAAATTTGTCAGATTTATCTGCTGTCCACTGTTGTACCTTTACTTGTCATCAGGTGCTGCTCTGTCTCACATTCACTTACCCCACCCAAGCAAATAATACATCCTCAAGGCTTTGAAGTTTCTGCACTCTTCAACATTTCAGACATTTCATTTTCCCGTTTCCTTAAACGACATGTATTTAATGGTTGTAATATGGGCATTTAAATGCTTTAAAGAGAAGGCTTGAAATAAATTACAGTTTTTAGTGTAGACAGATAAAATGTAGGCTATTAGGGATGAGTTAGTTTCCCCCTTACTGAAGTTTCAAAATTATCAGCATAAAATTTTTCATTTTAATCTCATATTTATTATTTATTTATCCAGTCACCATTATTCTATTTTGGAGGATTCACGTACCAAATGTATTAATTTGAGAAGACCCTCGTTCTACCACAAATCCTGAGGTATTTTATTTTGGTGGTGTGCGTTGTGATTTCTTAAGCAAATTTTCTCCATTTGTTTCAGGAGACATATCCTTTTGAGCCACCGTTTGTACGTGTTGTCCATCCAATCATCTCTGGAGGTTATGTATTAGTGGGTGGAGCCATTTGTATGGAACTTCTTACGAAGCAGGGTTGGAGTTCGGCATATACGGTAGAAGCCGTTATCATGCAGATAGCTGCAACCTTAGTGAAAGGAAAGGCGAGGATTCAGTTTGGAGCTGCCAAGGTTTGTAACCAGGTACTGTATGCCGTACATGCTTTTTTGTTTCCTCCAAGGTTCCTGTTCAGAGTTGCAGAACAATATGTTGCTTCATAAATTGGCCTTCCTTATTAATTAAAATAATTGCTGAATTGGTTACATCATGGCTAGATATTGTGATATTAAATCATGGTAAGAAATATTACATGTATCACTACAATAACTTACACATTAAACTGCGTACATTTGAGATTTGACGTTCCTGTGGTAGCAAATATGAAGATGGTCGTCATACAGTTGTTGCACCGTGTAGTCTGGTAGAAGTTTACCAGCAGTTCAGAGGTGGTTGCTGCTTCCATTGCCACCCTGATGATGGAGGCAGCAACAATCCAGAAGACAACCATTTTCTGTGTTTAGAGTTAAAGCCGTCACGTGCGCCAGTCCGTGATTTCAGTGCCAGTAACATAATTTCGGCTTGTAATCGTGGAGTCCCGGGTTCGATTCCCGGTGGTGCCCGGATTTATAACTTGTGTTAGGCAAGGCTGTGGTCCAGGTATCACAGAATTTTCCTCTGGGGCTTCCCCGGTTTCTTCGTGGCATCCCAACGATTACTCCATTTTCATCATCATTAGATACTAAGCACACTGTAGAAGGTGACGGCAAACCACTTCTGGATCACTTGCCTAGGAAAAATATGAACAGGTCCCTATCAGAGAGATCTTGTTCATAATGTCACCAGGGGTCAGCTCTGACCCAATGGTACAAAAAAAATCAACATGTTATATACCGAATCATCTCTGGCGTTAGGAGTACTGCTTTGTGGTCATAGAATGGCATAGTGCATTCCTCGGATCATTGCTATTATGTTGGCTTAATATAAGAACAGTCATATTGACAGCACTGTTGGTAGGAGTGGACTGCTTGATGGAGGAGTGGAAGAGGTGAAGTGATGGGGATTGTCTATATCTCATGTTGATATCATGGCGTTTTCTTTGACCTAAGCAATACCAGAGATACTGGCACATTAGTAATATTGTAAACGCAAATAACTGTATAGGCACACAGATAAAGGAAGCAAGGTCCACATATTTGCATTGTCATCAGAGGGTGGCAGTGCCACAGTTTTTCAGTAAATGTGAATAATTGAAGTATAACTAGGGACGTTGAGATGATTACATTCTGAAACAAGCGTGCAACTTGGCGATACAGGTGGCCCTCGATTTACGCCGGGATGCGTTCCTGGACGAACCGGCGTAAATTGAAACTCCTTTATAATGTAAATCAATGGGAAGTCGATGACATGCATTCCCAGCACCCAAACATTGACGAGTAATATAATGACATTACATTTAAAGCTCTGAAATAATGTAAATAAAATAAAGGGAATTTAAAAAAATATATATTGTACACTTACAATCGGCAATTCGTTGGTCCCCGCAATTGACTGCGATTCTTTCATGTGATTGATGTGTACAGTGATCTCTGCTGTTATGCGATAGTTGCATTCATGTAAGACGCCGACCTATAGAAAATCGTGTAGTAAAAATAATACCGATATCTCTGCAGAGATTAAATTAATCCTTTGAAAGTTTAAAGCGCCAGGAATGAAATTGCATTAGAGCAAACTCGCTTATGCAAAAGTTTGCATTTCGCAAACAGCTTTTACCTGTTCATCGATCTCATTGGAGTAAATTCGCGTTAACGAAACATACGTCATTGCAGAGATGACTGTATTTATAATTTTTATTCAAAATCAGCGATGTAAGAATTACGATTTAATATAATAATCAGTACGAGATACATTGTAAAACATTATAAATAATAGTAAAATATATTTTTTTGACTTGCTAGTTTCAAAATCAGCGTTATTTTGAATCGGTGTAAATCGAGGGCTACCTGTAATTCAGAACAACAGTGTTTAGAATGTTGCGTTACTATTAATGTTATTGTTCCTTATATTTTGGGAAATCATGAATTTTCACTTCCTTCTGAATGTTTTGAAGTATTTAACATAAGGAAATTTTCTTTCTTTTTACTAGGGTCAGTACAGCTTGGCAAGAGCACAGCAGTCTTTCAAGTCCTTAGTCCAGATTCATGAAAAAAATGGTAAGTTTCTGTTCGTATTAGTTTAAATTATATGTATATTATTTAATAGTTTAATAGTTGTAGAAATTTTTTAAAGTTAGTGTTTAAAATCTTAACCTTTTTTGCTTACGTCACAAATATATCATTTCTGTATGTCCTAGTATAAGATATTACTGAATACAGAGAAGCATTTCATTTCTTTTATAAACCGGTTTAGTAAACCTGTGTCCAAGTATTTGATTTATGTAGACTTCACACTGTGTTCTTACACGAGTGCAGAGCTGATGTTAACAAAGTCGCAGCGACTCTTGATTGGCTGCCTTTAAGTATTTTTATACTATAAATGTTTTCCTTCATCTCAGAGACAAAAATGTTAGTGGATCACAACCAATATTTTCAGAAATGTCATATAAAGCACATAAATATTATTTTCTGTATGAGATTAAGAAGCTGAAATCTTTTACTTGTCAGTTAGGTATTCCATAAACTTTAGAGAATTAATGTGGACGTACATCGTGTATTTGTATGTAGCCGTGAACTTGTTCTTAGTATATAAGATTTTAGGTTTCCACAGCGGTGAGTATGAAGATTTCTGTCTTCTGGGTTGTTACGCTGTGTAGTCTGGTCGATATTAACCAGCGTTTCAGAGGTCATACTACCTCCATCATCAGGGCGATGTTCTTAGTATGTTTATTTAACATAGCACTCTCTGTTTTAGGTTGGTTTACTCCACCCAAGGAAGATGGTTAAAAAGTCTGTGAAACTTTCTTTGTTGTTTTTATTATTACTTTTTCCTTGGAAACGGTTAATAAAACCGAACTGCGAAGCCTAGAGACTGACGGGGTAAGTGCTGTCGTTAAAGCACGAGACCCAAAATAATAGTGTGTGGCGGTGAATTGTTACTTGCTCTGTATTGTGCGTGAGTGTTGATCTGTTGACATTAATTTATGAACAAGAGCATGTCCGTAGTTTTGAGTGACGAGCGAATTGATCGCACAGATGATTGTTTAAATATACAAGCAGTGTGTCGGTTGACATGTGTTAAAATAAACTGATTTCTTGAAAGAAAAAACAATTTTGTTGTATTCGTGTAGCTTTTTTTTTTTATGTATGGGCATTGTTGTGACTTCAAGGCCTCCCACTTAAATTTCCTCCAGAGGAAAACATATAAGCGACATTGTGGTATATTTTCTTCCATTTGTGTTCTAAATCGTCTTATTTTCATTGTTTTATGGCAGATGCGAAGCTAGTTTCTTATTGTTTTATCATTGTTTAAATTTTGTGATTGTTTTTAAGGCAGCAGTGATAAGTGTAATGGATCTGAAGTGTTGATAAGTGTATGTGAGCTTCTGGCGTGTTACAAACATTCCACATAGAATTTGTGTGGCTGCAGATTTGGTGTACAGGAAAGGATTGGAATGATACACGTCTTACTGCTGCGCGTGCTACTTCGGCCTTCCCGTTTACTCGCTCCACTCTCGATTACTCCGCGAATGACTTCACATTCTAAGTCATTGCCATTTTGTGTAGGCCGACATTGTACTCAGATGTGGCTCTAAATAAATTTGGAACTCAGTATTCAACTTTGAACTACAATTATGTGTAACATATTTCAGTTACAAAGAGAATAATATTGTATTTTCTGTAACCTTGAAATGAAGTATATATATATATATATATATATATAAGGAAGTCTGAAACCAAATGAAAGGGTTTTTGTTTATTGAAGAACAGCCTTCAGCAAGGATACTCATGTTTCTATATGCCATTGTAGTCTCAGGTTAACATTGTGCAGGTTCCTGGAAGGCAGTTTACTTGCGGAGTTTGATTTCTGTGCATTTGAGTTTACCAAACAACCTTCATTTGCAGAAATAGAAAATGAGTTATATATAATTGGCAGCATACTCATAATTACATATAAAAAAAGTTCTCATGTTTGGGTTAACACCAGAATTTAAATTGTAAATTAGTTCCTAACTTTTTTCTACTGTGTTGATTCAGTTAAATGGATCACGCCACTGGAAACATAAGAATATCCGTTAGTTACAGGCTGGTTTGGTAGATTCACGCAAGTTTGTAATGAATTTCAAATAAGGTCTTCTTTCTTTATTAGTTATAATGCAGTTTAGTTATTCTTCACTTGTATTTCACTAATGTAAAGAAATGAAATACTGTGTTTCAAAATCTAGGAATAAATTAACATTTGGAAGTATTTATTTTTTCTTTGAACTTGTCATTAAATTGGGATGTTCATTGTAGCCAGAAAATATTACCATATCACTTTCCATTGTTGTTCTGATGACATTTGGTTTTTGGATTCTATCTAGGAACTTAAGTGAACAATTTCAGTTATATAGAGTCCTTAGCTGAATATAATGAAATATAGAATCTACCTTGGAAAGAACTTACATTGCCCTCCTTCCTTCAGTTCTTTTAATTCCAACCTCCAACAGTCATACACATGCAAAAGTGCCTTTCTCTTTGTTGGCGTGGTTTTTGGAACTACCACTGGTGAGCAGTTGTATGTAGTTGAGGTTATCATACATTAGACATTAAAAATAAGGACACATTCCCTCACCCTCCCCTGGCACAAAACTGCTTTGAACAGTGTTATAATGCTTTATAATTCATATATGGAAATTGTTAAAAGTGCATAAAATACTATTGTACTACTAGAAAAATACATTTGAAAGCACATTCAGGAATTTCTGGCTGAAATACATATGCTAATTTTCATCACATTTTGTAAATGCACATTGGCGATTTTTCAGCAGATCATAAGTTTTCTTTTGTTTTATATATGACTAAGACTGTTCAAATGTATATTTGCTACAAAATACATTTAAAATTTTTGTGGTAATTTATGTAACTCAGAGAACTATTATACTGTCGAAGAAGTGTAAAAGGTAATTCTGCTTGGAACACAAATTATTTAAGTTCTGAAAGGAAACGAAAACCAAAATAGTCGGTAGTTGGGAAATAACATTTTTGCTAAAAAGTAGGCTAACCAGAATTTCCTGATCGCTTGCGGTTCGCGAAACATTGTTTGAGAACTTGGGGGTGGGGGGTAAACTGTAGCATACTGTTTAGTCTTTATGCCACACAGGAAATTGCGCATCTTGAGCATGGGAACGTACGTGTCCCCCTTTCCTCACTCTCCTAGACTTTCTCAGACTTTGCAGTGACGTAATACAAATATACAGTTGCGGTTTAATTAAATTCTGCCCAATATAAATACAGGATGTGTGCTGAAGTTTCATAATAAATTAATAAATGATGTGGTCTCCATTGGCATGAAGGTTAATGTGAGTGACAGTCTGTTAAAGCTTAAGACTTGCTCACGCACAGGATGCCACGAACCTGTATTTACGGAATAAGTAAAAAGTGCTTCATCCTACGGCAATATGTCATGTCGCTGCAGCCAGGTAAACAAGAATAACACGCCATTCTCACTGCTGGCGGAAGTGGCAGCACCTGTACAAACAGTTGCTTCTCTTTGCATGCGCTGGGCGACAGTCTGCTTACATAAAAGAAGGTTAACTTATGTCTGTGACAGGGGAATTAAGATCGCTCGTGGCAAGTAAGACGTTAGAACTTCGGAGCTAACGACATCGAAAGCATGTGATTTCAAGTAATAGTGGAAGTGTCAAATGGAGGAAAAGATAGTAATGACATGTGAGTGCTTAGTTTTAATTTTGTTGTGATTTATATTGGTTACGAACTACTCTTTGACGCCTTGATTACTACATAATGTTCTTCCTGTATATCGATATCTGAAAGGAAACAAATTGTGAGCGAACGAGAGCAGCTACGGTGGGTGTACGTCCATTCCGTAGAAAAGCTAACGTTTCCTTTATGTATGTAAGAATAAAAGTTTTGCTCTCAGACTTACGGAAACTGCGGTATTCTATTTTGGGATGAAATTGCAGTTAACACGTACGAATATTTTTCCGCGTTTTGTAAAAGTGTATAGAAGGCCAAGGACGAGAGAAGAGAGTTTTGTTTCAATCGATTCTTTCCATTTTATGAATGTTGATAACATTTGGGCGCGAATATGTGATTAGTGATTATCTTGGAATGTGAATTACTTCCAGGGTGTCCACGTGGAACAGTTCAGTAAAATCGCGCCCAAGAGCTCTAATCTGAAACCAACAAGATAACCCAATGTTGTTATTATGATGGCAGTGTTGTGCCGCAAGGTCAGAAACCCCAGTTATCAGGAAATGTCAAATTTACACGACAGTAAATGCTGCATAAACGTAGGGTAGTAAGTTCGTAAGGTAAGGTTACGCCAATTCTTCCTTAAGTGGCCAAATCGCCGAGGACGTCGGAAGTCGTAGAACCTGGCGGTAGTAGCTCTTTGTTGTTAACCTTCGTCATCTACTATGCTCGTGAGTGAGCATCAGATTCTGACAGGCTGGGTGAGGATGTTAAGGGACTCTGGTAGGATTTATTAGGCATTGGTTTTCTTATGACATGACTCTGTGTAACATATTATATACAAACACACACACCTAGAGAAGCAGGAGCTCACTATTAAAGGGCCTATGACCATTCTAGCCTTACCTCTTCCCAAGAAATTAACACTAGACCAAATATCAACTTATGATATAAACACTCGTGTTTCCGAGCTCATGTCAGCGTTACAGGTGGTACGACACGGGATGGTAGAAGCGGTGGAGCTGAGACCTCCCCGATCGGTCACAACAGAATATTCGGCGGCAGTAGTGGAAGCCAGAGCATGTTCATCGCTGAAGCGGTTTATGGGGTTTAATTTTGTGTTCGTCCTCCCTGGCAATCTCGTATTGCTGTTGTTGTAGTATTCTATTTAAATTCAGAATACTCAATGTGTTAAATGAGCTTCTACTTTATGTTGTGTCACATTTTGGAAATGGGGGTTGCCCTTGTACGTCCGTGAACCAGTTAGAGAGCGCATTTTGGCACAGCAGTCACAGGGAAACCATGAATGAAGGTATAAAGAACTAGATGGGAACACAAAGTTAAACGGCGATAAAAAAGGACTGAGTTGGTAATTGCGGAATCTGTGATGTTGTAGAGGGGCGAAAGGCAACGGACAAAGAATCACGCGGAAGGAAAATTTTGTAGTAACTGCGGAAGATTGAGATGTGGACAGTGGAAGGGCAGTAGATAGGGAATTGAGCGGCTATGAAATGTAGGAACTCTTGAAATAAATGCGTGAATCTCCCATAGCAGGCCAATGCGGCGTAAAATGACGCAAATATTCAACCCAATGGCCACTAACGATGACCGACGCCTCTTCTGCTCTATTTGAGAAATGCTCGTTAGATCTCGTTCGGCCCGTAAACATTGATCATTGAACGTCTTATCATCACGATGGTTTTGTAGTGTATCTATATTCTGACAAAATTAAGTGTTATCAGATTATGAAGATCCATAACTATCAGTGAATGTCGTGTCATACGCAGAGCTCCGTGTAGTGAGTGATAGATAAGTCATCCGTCGGTCTTAGTTGCAGACTCGTCGTATTGCATTTTAA